GACAGGGTGACGGAAAGGGTTAAATATGTTTACGTTGTCTGAGTATAACTCGCTTGCTTTAGGTTTTACAGTCTAAATACCTATTATAAAATTATATCATAACAATATTCCGGAGGGCAAGACGGTGCGTTTTTTCAATTATTCCCAATATTAAGTTCAATATATCGTTTAGAAATACCGTAAATTTCAACATTTTTAAATGACCTTTAACTGTTAAAATGTTTAGTTTTTTAAAAAAAGCTCACCGTCTTGCCCTCCTTAATATTGTCATCTTTTAATTTTGTTATAGGTGTTTTGACTCTAAAGCCTAAATTAAGCGAGTTATACTCAGACTGCGAAAATGTGTTTTTACCACTGAAAATTACTGGTGTGGCGTCCTCTTAAGGTAAAATAACTTACTTGTAGACATTATTTCAGCATTTTCATCATCCCAATTGGGGTCATTATCAATGTCATCAGAGCTAAAATCAAATGAAGAATCTAGCATTTCTACTATATTTTCTTCATTCATTTTTTTATTTTGCAACAAATTATATAAAAAAGTGAAAGCCCGTTAACTTTCAACAACAACTACTGCAAAAACACTTTAAATATTCAATTTTGATGGTGATATTTTAGTAGTATCAAAGTCAATTAAGTAAAAAGTATAAACAGTTAACAATAACAACAGTATCAAACATTTCTTTATTAATGATTTTAAAATATTGATAAAAAAAAACTATTATATGGGTATTTTCATGCTACAAACACCAATTAAAAGTGGTAACACTGTACAACTAAAATCCGATGAGAAAATAACGTTAATTGAGATTTAAAATGAGATCTCATTATTATAATATTCTTATAAGTGAGATTTATTATGAAATCTCACAACAAACTTTTAGTAATTAGTTGAGATTTAGTATTAGATCTCATAGCAAATTTAAGTAACGCAGTGAAAAACCCCGTGGCGGTCAACGAGTTTCAAATAAATCGAACGTTGCGTCGCGCTTGAATTGTGTACTTTCGGTTGTTACTTGTTTTAGTTTTCATAAAAGTTATTGTGATTTGTGAAGTGCTATAAAAATTAAAATAAGGTAAGTTATAGTTCTCATTCTTCTGAATTATTTTATTTTTGAAAATATAATGTACTACCAACTTTTTATATTTTTATTTTTTATAAACTTATGGAAATTATCTATTATCGTTTGACGCGACCACAGGTGATGTGGCCGGTCTTGGGAGAGATATCGAGAAATTAATGAAAAAATTGCACGGTACGGGATTTGAACCCGCGACCCACGCGTAACACTGGGCCACCGCGAATTATTCATTAAATCTCGATATTCCCCCTTTAGGCCAGAGTGGCAGTGTGTACACGGTTGAGAGAGAGTGATGAGGCGCTGGGGCCGTGTCACATTTATCATGCATGTAAAATGTGTATAGTAAATAATGCACTGTTTTTTTGGAATCAAGGACAAAATATTCAAGGAAAAAATATCCTGTACTAAAATATCCAACAGATAAAATATCCAGGGATAAAATAATCAATATATGGGACAAAATATCCAAATAAAAAAAAATCATAAAAATGTATAATTAATAATCATATAATTTTTTTTATTTAAATTCATTATATTGTTGTTTTTTGAATCACGTTTTAATATCATTTAATATCAATAATACTTTATAACACAGTAATAAAATAATAATAAAAATAATATGTTGCGTTATATATAATAATTATATCTTTAGTTATAGGAATTGTGTATTACACTATATCATCTAAAAGTTTTTAATAATATTTTAAAAAAATTGTTTAAAAAGAGGTAATAAATTATCGTATATATTTGCTATTGCAATTAAAAAAATATCTAATTCTTTTTCACCATTAATATATTCAAGACAAAGGAGCTTAAGTTGTATTATTATTTTTACTATTATTATTTTATGACTATATTACAAAGTATTATCAATGTTAAATGTGATTTAAAAATCGTTCTTCCTTGAATCATATCCTAATTGATGAGCAGCATGGCTTCCGTCCTGGTAGATCAACTCTTACTTGTAACCTTAGTCTACATTCATATATATATGATTCTTTTCGCGATAGCTGCCAAGTAGATGTAATCTACACAGATTTCTCCAAGGCTTTCGATCGTGTTGATCACAATCATCTTATGTCTACTCTAGACTCCATAGGAATCGGTGAACCATTACTTTCCTGGTTTCGCTCATTCATTACAAATAGGATCCAATGGGTAACTGTTGATTTCACTTCTTCGGACCGCTTTACTCCCTCCTCAGGTGTACCACAAGGTGCTGTTCTTTCTCCACTCCTGTTTGCCCTATTCGTAAACTCAGCGGTCTCCGTCCTCCAGCATGCCAAACTTCTTATCTTTGCTGATGATATGAAAATCTTTCTCCGCATAAAATCCATCTCTGACTGTCGCCTTCTTCAAAACGACCTTCAGCGATTAGTTGCGTGGGGTGAATCTTTGGGGCTAGCTCTTACTATAGCTAAATGTTCAGTAATGACTTTTAGTCGTATTAATGCTGTAATCGAACATATTTACACGGTAAACAATACCGCCTTAACAACCTGTAATAATTATGTTAAGGATTTAGGATTTACTCTCACACGGAACCTGTGCCCTAATATGCATATCCAGATAATATGTTGTAAGGCTCTTAAACTGCTTGGTTTCATAAACCGTGTCTCTTCTGACTTCCACTTGCTCTCCCCTCTAAAAACTCTTTTCTGCTCCCTAGTCCGCCCCATCCTTGAGTATGGTTCCGTCCTCTGGGACCCGTCCACCGCTCCCGCACGTAACATGATAGAAAGGGTTCAAAGAAAATTCCTCCGTCAAGCTGCTTACAAACTAAAGATAGTCTGTCCACCTCACGATTACATGCCAATCCAACGCCTCTTTTCCTTAGAAAGCCTCACCGATCGTCGTCATTCAGCTAACCTGACATTTCTATCCAATCTTCTTTCATCTAAAATTGATAGTCCTGAATTACTATCCCGTGTCTCATTTAAGGTCCCCTCTCGCTGTACACGATCATCTGTTGCATTTCATATACCTTTCTCTTCCTCAAACTACTATCTTAACTCACCGATCATCCGTCTTATGAGCATTGCCAACACTGACCCTTCATTCTCTCTCTGATATTGAGCCACGTTTCCATAAACTATTAAAACTATTATTATTATACTATTATATTCATGTATTAAAGGGTTCGTCCCGTATTGTAAAATAAAATAAAAAATAAAAATATTAATTTAATTTGTTATTATTATAATTTATTGTATTATTTGTAATATTACCTGGTTTACAATGTGTTGAGGAACTAGTCATATTGACCATTTGAATAGTTCTTTTTCTCATTTTGTGGTTTTTAATTTAAACTCAAAAAAAAAGGTTCAGTTAAACCAAAGTAATTAAACACATTAGCAAAATTGAGAATAACAATGTCAAAAATAAATTAATATTGGAGCGCAAACTCATTATCATTCTATCAATAGAAAGAAAGATAGACAAAAATAAATTGTTTTTATAACATAACTATATGTCGCCGCCACGACGGTAGACGAGCCGTAGGCACACCGCAACGACCGACACACACACACACACACCGTCGCATATAATTGTTTTTATTTTTGTATCAATTGTGATTGTGAATTATTATATAACATTATATAGATTATAAGTTAATTACCGCCGCCGCCGCCGCCGCACCGGCTGCGCAATCTTTGTAATACGGCCGCCGTAATCCGTCACCAGTTCGTTAGTCCGTTAAACGCAGTCAACGCGAAAAATAATTATATTCACGGGCGCAAATCGTCATAGTTTACTATTACGTTTTCAACGGCTCAAATAGCCTCGATTTTGTAATATTTCTAGGCGCTAATCGCCGAGTGCATTATTTTGATTTATTATATATTTCATTATTTGCGTGCGCGAATCGCCACTATATTTTTATTTGTAAGGCGCTAATTGCCATTTTTATTATTGTCATTGTCGTGGCGCAAATCGCCATTTTTTATTGAAATTATAATATTATTATTTCGGCTCGTTGTGTGTGCCGTTTCTTATTGTTATTTATTATATATTTTGCATCCATCATTATTATTATAGTTATTATAGGTATCGGCTGGCCAGCAGATCACCGACAAACTGTGAGTTATTATATATTATTAATACTATTATATTGTATCCATTCTATTAGGCCAGAAGAGCCATTTATTATTATATTTTACACAGCTATGTTGCTATAATATTATTATTTTTATATTCTGCGTATTGGTCGTAAGGACATATATATATATATTATTATTCTGTTGCGCCACAAGGGCCATATTTATATTATACCTTGTTTCTGCTTTACCATAAGGCCTGAGCGTTCATATTATATTTTATTCTGTACCTTTATCGGCTAGGCCAGAAGGGCTAGGTATAATATTATTACATATGTTTTTATACTTTTCGTTATTTTTGATATTATTATTATTTTTGTAAAATATACAGCAACTCATGCAACTTTAGTTACCAACAGTCGTGTTATCATTATTTTATTATCAACTATTAGTTCAAACACACACCCTACATACATATACATCTACACACCCACCACACACTGGCACTCTTTAGTTTTGCTCGGCGACCCCGTCCACCTCTATTGAGTCGCTATACAGAGATACACACGTACACAGGTCGGTCGGTGTGAGCGCGAATTATTTCTGGCGACCGGGCAACACGCTCTATTATTGTAGCGTTCCCGGCTCAAACATTTTGGTGACCTCGACGTGATACAACGCTATCTTATTTTATTTGCATATAATTTATATCAATTATTTAGTCCTATATTTCTGTGGTATTTTAATTAGTATGACATTATATATATTTAGTGTTGCATTACTGAACCGTAGTCTTTATATATATATTTAATATTGAAAGGCATTCAATTATTTATTATTCCAATATCTTTTCCAATACATTTTTACTATTCTAAGCAATATGGTGCTGGATGAGAATGAGCAGAAGGCTCTAACTGATTTAAAGAGAAAAAGGGGTGTAATAAAGGCTTCTCTCACACGTATTCGTACATTTGTAACCAAGTTTGATCCAACGCAGCAGGCCGTATCGTTACTCGAGTTTAGGCAAGAAGAGCTGCCACAAATCAACCGAAAATTTGATGACGTACAGTCGCAGATAGAGTTGCTTGTTGGGGAGGAAGAGGCTTCTGAGGTAGAAAGGGAAAATTTTGAGCAAGATTATTTTGCAATTAGGTCTCAGATTCAGGAACTAACTAGCTTGGAAAGGCCTCATAATTCAACAGCAGTCTATGCTTCATTTGCAGCTATGAGTACCCATCGACATCAGTTACCACCTATTCCGCTTCCAAAATTCAGCGGTAACATCCAAGAATGGGCTTCATTTTTTGATGTATTTCGAGCGATGGTTCATAACGACGATAGTTACACCGCAGCACAGAAATTTTTCTATTTGCGATCATGTTTGGAAGGTCAAGCTTTGGAGCTCGTCCGTTCAATTCCAGTCAGCGATGGAAATTACGAAGCGATCATCTGTCAGCTTATTCAACGATACGATAATCATAGTCTTGTGGTGCAATCTCATATCCGCTCCATCCTCGACTGCCCTAGAGTAGAAGAATCAAGACCTTCCACTTTACAAGGACTATATTCTACAGTTTCCACTCATGTTGCAGCATTAAGATCGATGGGTCAGCCTGTGGACCAGTGGGATGCCTGGCTCATTACAATCGTCACTAGCCGATTAGACAGGAGTACGGCGCATGGATGGCAATTGCATCAGCGCAACTCGAGGCTCCCGAAATATTCGGACTTGGAAATATTTATAGCAAGTCGTTGCACTGCTATAGAAACTTCAGAAGCTTGCACGTCGACGTGGGAAAGTAGTTGTGAAGTTCAAGCAAAGGGTTCAGGCTCTAAGAAGACTACATTGAACAGTGCAACAAAAAGGGCACTCATTTCTGCAAATACCAAGTCGGCACGTCCATGTCCTTGTTGTTCCGAGAGTCATAGGCTGTTCATGTGTGAGCAATTCAAAGGCCTTTCGGTATCGGAACGTCTAAACATGGTGAGGGCGTCCCAGCTATGTTTCAACTGCTTAGCACCATTTCATGCTTCGGAAAATTGTAGATCAAAGTATACGTGCTTAAAATGTAAACAGAAGCACAACACGCTCCTGCATCATGAGAAGCATACGACTATCGCCAGCAACAACGGGAATAACGACCAATTTGGCGATAACACTCCTACTACATCAGCGCAACACTCAAGTAACATAGCAGCCCTTGCCACAGCAGGAGGAGGTCATGTATTCCTTTCCACAGCATCTGTCCTGGTTACAGACAACAACGGTCAATTAAGGAAATGTCGCGTTATACTGGATAACGGATCGCAAATGAATTTTGTGTCCAAAAATTTCGCCAAGTTGTTGCAACTTCCACGTCATAAAACAATGGTGCCGGTAAGTGGAATTGGAGCCGGTCAGATACAATCAGTCTCTTGTATATCTGTTAAAGTAACATCTCGTGTAAAACAGTTTGAAGTAGATTTGGTTTGTCATGTATTGCCAGTAGTGGTTGATTGCTTACCTAATTGTCCAAAACCAGCAAGCGGATGGGACATACCAGAAGACCTGAGACCGGAGCTGGCTGATCCTTTCTTTGACGTTTCGGGAAAGGTTGACCTACTCATCGGCGGTGGAACATTCTTCGATCTATTCGAGCCAAAAAGAGTTCGGTTGCCAGCTAGAGGTGTCTGCTTGCAAGATTCAAAGTTTGGTTGGGTAGTAACAGGAGAAATTGGCACTACCTCGCTTTTAGCTACATGCTCTATTGGACAAGCACGTGAGGACAAATTTAGAATTTTATGTAAGGATGAGCTTGAGGCATACGGAGCATCATCCAAGTCCAATAAGAAATGCATTGAAGAGCAGAGAGCTCTAAAGCATTTTGAGGAAACCGCGAATCGAGACGAGACGGGCCGGTTTGTGCTACGACTTCCATTGAAACCTGAAAAATGTAAACTTGGAAGCACGCTAGAAATGGCCACCACTAGATTCCTGAGTGTTGAGCGAAGGCTTCAGAAGGATGAAGAACTGAAGAGGCAATATATAAATTTCATGGAGGAATATTTGAAAATGGGCCACATGAAAAAGGTGTGTCAAGATTTAAATCCACCCGAATATGTTTTCTATCTTCCCCACCATCCAATAATTAAGTTGTCAAGCCTCACAACGAAACTGCGAGTAGTTTTCGACGCATCGGCTAAGAGCTCTTCGAATATCATCAGACTGTTGAGCTGTATGGTTGTGCTGTACTTTACTCTGTGCGTTATCTTTTTCTAATTTATCAATTTCACTCTTCGCAATATTTAAATTGTTTCTAATTATTTTCATCATGACTGGAGTTGTTTGTAATATTTGTAATATTCAATTCGCAGAGCTGGATATTCCTGTCAAATGCGATAGTTGTACTTTATCTGCTCATCCTAAATGCACGGGACTCTCTTCAACTGAAGTTAAGTGTCTGGCTTTAAAAAATAGGTCTCTTAAATATTTTTGTGAAAGCTGTGATCAAGGTCTTAAAGAATTACCGGAATTGAAGCTGTTGATAAAAAAATTATTAGTTGAAGTGGAAAATTTAAAAAATATGAATTTTAATTCTGATTCCAGTAATACGTCATCTGTGCATTTTTCTAATGAATTTATTTTTAATGAAATTAATGAGCGTAATCGCTGCGCTAATAATTTATTATTCTATAATATTGAAGAATGTGATTCAAACCGGTTGGATGATCGTATTTCATTTGACCTGGCACAAATAAATAACGTCATTAAAACTATTTTGGTTGATTCGTCTATTATTCCTAAGAAAGTTATTCGCATCGGTCGTTCGCAATCGGGTAAATCACGTCCAATTAAAGTCATCTTTGATTCTAAGTCTGATGTATTTGATATTATTAAGAATAAACGCAAGTTATCACAATGCAATTCATCACTATCATCGATTAACATAAGTACTGATCGGACCCTGTATCAAAGAGAGGCTATGAAGAAATTACGTGAAGAATTAAATCAACGTACTTCAAAAGGTGAAATGGATTTAACGATCAAGTTTGTTCATGGTACCCCTAATATTGTTAAAAAATCGGATGTCATCTCTACTCATTCTCAACCTCAACAATCTCAAAATTTTTTAAAATAAATGTTATGTATCAAAATGTAAGAGGTCTCAGGACGAAACTTCAATTTTTTCGTAATTCTGTTAATAATTTAAACTGTGATTTTTTATTTTTATCCGAAACTTGGTTAAATGATACTATTAATGATGTAGAACTTGGTATTATTAATTTCAATATTTTTAGAGCTGATAGAATTGGTACTCGTGTTTGTAGAGGAGGTGGTGTGTTGTTGGCCATCAGAGATAATTTGGAATGCAGACGTATTGTTATTGATAATATCGGTGGCATTGATCAGGTATTTGTATTAGTTAATTATAATAATGTTAAATTATTGTTAGGCTGTGTTTATATTCCTCCCAATACCCATAAAGATATATATATTAAACACTGTGAGTTAGTGGAGAATATTATTCTTGTTCATTCAATAGTGAATATACTTATTATTGGTGATTATAATGTTTCTGGTTTCTCTTGTACTGATTATACCCAAATTAATGATCCCAATTCGAATGTTATAATCAGTTCATTTATTAATTATTTGAATTTAAAACAAGTTAATAGTATCCTTAATGAGCGGTTTGATATCTTAGATTTAATTATGACTAATAATTGCGTTGATTGCATACGTCTAGGTAGTTCACTTACACCGTTAATTGACTCTTATCACCCACCATTGGATTTTATTTTATCCATTTCTACACCTGAATTTCTTTCCGAAACATCATGTCCAGTTGTTTTTAATTTTAATGCATGTAATTATAATGATGTTAATCTGTTTCTTAATAGCATTGATCTAATGTCTAATTTGATAAATCTTAATGTCGATTTAGCGGTTCTTAAACTAAATGAAATTATATCCCACTCGTTTGATATGTTTGTTCCTAAAATTAAATTAAATCATTATGATTCGCGTAGTTTATATCGGTCCAATCCTATTTTGAGAAATTTAATTAAACTAAAAAAACAGGCACATAAAAAATATAAAATTACTAATTCACATTCAGATTACATATTTTTTTCTAACTTACGTAGTAATTGTAAAAAATTGTCTTCTCAAATTCATGCAAATCATTTGTTAAAAATTGAAAATAATATTAATACCAACCCGAAGTCGTTTTGGAATTATATTAAATCTTTGAGATCTAATCGTTCTAATATTCCCCTTTCAGTATTTTTGGACAATAATTCTGCGAATAATATGAATGATACCATTGGGTTATTTGCTAAATATTTTTCATCAGTATACACAACTAGCACAACTAATATAACAGACGATTACAATAATGATTTATTTTATAATCAGTTTCATAATTTTAATTTGAATTCATTTATTATTCATGAACACGAAATTATAGATTATATTGGTTCACTTAATGACAAGGCAAGTATTGGACCCGATGGAATTCCTACAATTTTTTTGAAAATGTGTTGTCAAACTCTCGTTAAACCTTTGTATTATTTATTTAATTTGTCTCTGTCCAGTGGAACATTTCCTCTTTGTTGGAAAAAATCTTTTATTTCTCCTATACATAAATCAGGTGACAAACAAAATGTGAAAAACTATAGGCCAGTTTCGAAAATGTCAATTTTGCCAAAAATGTTTGAAGCAATTATCTCAAAAAAATTATCAAATTTACTGTGCAATAATATAAGCTTTTCTCAACATGGATTTGTACCAAAACATTCGATTCAAACTAATTTATTATTATATCATAATTATCTTGTAAAAGCTCTTGATCAAGGCTTCCAAGTGGATACTATTTATACGGACTTTCAAAAGGCGTTTGATAAGGTGAATCATAATTTACTATATCATAAATTAAAAAGTCTTGGTATAGGTGGGAACTTTTTACAATGGTTATTTTCGTATCTTTCTGATCGTACTCAAGTAGTTAAAATTATGTCTTACGTTTCTGATGACTATCCTGTCTTATCAGGTGTTCCTCAGGGCAGCCATTTAGGCCCTTTACTATTTTTAATTTTTATTAATGATCTCCCACTAGTCCTTGATGGTTCTATAAACATTTTATTATTTGCGGATGATGCGAAGATTTTCTGTACAGTTAATTCTTCAAGTGATGCTGAATCTCTTCAACATAATCTTAATAAATTTCATTTATGGAGTAAATTAAATTTATTACCATTAAATATTGATAAATGTCATACGATAACATTTACACGTAAAAAAAATCCTATCTTTTTTAACTATAATATTGAATTGTGTTCTCTCACTAGAGTAAATGTAATCAAAGATCTTGGTATTTATTTTGAAAGTGATCTTTCTTTTAAAACGAACCATAATATGATAATTAATAAATCGTTTAAGATGTTAGGCTTTATTAATAGAAATACTAAAGATTTTAAAAATCCGTTATGCTTAAAAACCTTGTATACATCTTTAGTTAGATCCAATCTTGATTTCGGCTCCGTAATCTGGTCATGCAAATACTTGACATATATAAATGATTTGGACAATGTACAATATAAATTTTTAAAAAGGATTTCATACTTGTCAAATATTCCATTATCTAGGGACTCTCTCCATCTAACTCAAGATTATATTGGCCTTGTTTCTCTTTCACTTAGACGAAAATTAACTGATATTATGTTTGTCTATGATCTTATTAATTTCAATATTGTGTGTCCAGAATTGTTGTCTGAAATTAGCTTTCGAATTCCATATCTTATTACACGTAATTCAGATTTATTTTTAGTCCCTCATTATAAAACGAATAGTGGTACCAATTCTTTTTTCCCTCGAGCTTTAATTTTAGCTAATAAAATTTGTATACATTTAGATATATTTTTTCTCTCACGCAATTGTTTTAAATCTAAATCTATGTTATTATTAAAAAATATTGATTGATAAATATGAAAAAAAAAAAAAAAAA